CCATCTGTCTCCATCTCCCTTTAAAGGAACTCTTGTGAGGCCATGGCACCCACCCAATGACCAGGCAACACTCCCTTTTCAGAGGTCAGCTGATTAATGAACTGGTTTCCGGAACTGCAAACTTCAATTTTCTCTGAAAAAGGAAGGCAAACCATTTGTCCAGAGAGTATGGTTGGAACTGGGATCATATAGTGCACCAGAGCAGTTAGGGCCGTCTGCCCCTGGGAGTGAACCAAGAGCTGCCCAGGGACACTGTGAGGAAGTCCCTGTGTGCTCTGGGGCTTCTGCCCCTTCCCAGCCTGTGTCTCAGCCAGAGCCCGAGGCCCTTCCACCCTGCTGACACAGGGATCCCGCTCCAGGTCCCTCCTAAGGAAAAATATCGGGCAGAAATCACATGCTGACAAATTATGGGTATTTGTCAAAGAACATTGTATCATACCCTCAAGTCAGAAACAAAGCAGTAAAAAAAAAAAAAAGAAACAAAGCAGTAGAGAAGTTATAAAAAAATTATATGCCCACGTAATGGAATGTAGACTAAAATATATTTTGTGAAGACTTCATTATTAACCGGAAAAATACTTGTGTTAGGATGTATGGAGGTGAAAAATCACGATGCAAAATGTACATTTCTTTAATCTCACCTATCCAGAAGACATTTGAGTTTGCAGGTCAGCACAAATGAGTTTTTACAAAAGGGGGCAAAACTGGACGGGAAAAGAATGGTGACAGTAATGACCCCTGGAGTTGGAATCACGGACCTCTCCTTTGTTATTTCAAGTGCCATTCATTTTTAGAGGACGTTAAAGACATTGAGGCCCAGCAGGTCATGGACTACACCTGTTTGTGGTTGCAAAGCCTGCAGGGCTCTGTGTTTCCTCTGCAACACAGGAAGGCCTGGCTGTGGGGAGCGGAGCTCGACAGAGGATTGGGTTTACCCAGAGGCCTGACCGAGGACCAACAGCTTGGGGGCCCTGCAGGGTCAGGAAGACAGCAGCGGAGTAACAACCATGGGGACCAGGTTCAGAAGCCTGGAGGCTGCAGAAGGAGGCCTTGTGGTAAGCGCAGTCAGAGCAGCACTTTGGAGAATTAGTGCGGGCAGGACAGGGTGGGGAGAGTTTTAGGAAGAGACTGAGACACACTGGAGGAAGTTCAGGAAGGTGCAAGGTCACTGGCGGTGGGGTGGGGTGTCACTGCCTAATGCCTGTGTGTCAAGCAGCTGCTGTATCCCAGCACTGAGCTGCCTGCCAGAGGTACAAGGATGTGCTCAACAGTCAGACCCCGTGCTCCGTGCTCCAGGAGGTGGAAAGAAAACCAATGCAAAATGTAATATGTGCTCTACAGAAAAGAAGAGGTGCAAGAGGGAAATGCAGGTCAGGGAACAAAGGAAGTGACATGGAAGCTAAGACATGCAGGCTGGGACAGGTCTTAGCTTAAATAAGGAGGTGAAACCCTGCAAGACTGGAGGTGGCTCAAGCAAAGACCCCAAGGCAGGAAAGGCTGCAGGGTGTTCATGGAAACCAGGACAAGGTCAGTGTGGCTGGGGTCCTGTGGGTGAGGGTGGGACTGAAAGGAGCCCCACGAGAGGGACAGGGAACAGAGGAGGGAACAGAGATCCAGGGGGGAAATGACCTGTGTGTCTACTTGGCGGCAGAGTGCAGATCAGCTGGAGGCTGACATCTGGAAACCGCTGGACTTCAGCCCATAGGAGCCCCGCAGGGGTAGGGGCTCTGTGGCCTCTGGCAGGTCAGTTGGATCATGCCACTGAGGCTTACCACATGAGCAGGACCCAGGAACCAACTGTCCTGAGCACAGCGTCCATGCCGCCAGCTGGGGTCAGGAAGCCTATCATCTTGTTTAATCCACCTTGTCCCTAACCGCTGAGCATCTGGTGGGACTAAAGGAGGTTTCAGGACGGTGAGGACTGGTTTCTGGCTAAATCTTGTTAGGGCTGCTGCTGTTGCTGTTGCTGGAGGGAATAATTGGCAGAAAAGGAAACATAACTATTTTAAAATGTAAATGAGCAGTTTCAATATCTTGCTTTCTGATATTCCAGAGGATGCCTCTTCCTTGTTCTCTTCTAAATTAAAAGGCTAATTTCAGTCTACAGCATTAGATTCTGTTTGGACAAAGGCTGACTTGAATGCAGGTGGCGGGTTTGGGCCTGGGCTCCACCACTGCCTGCCTGTATGCCCGAGGGCACAGAGTTTGCCTGGCTTTGCTAAGCTCCCTCATCTACCCCTCGAGGATGACCAGCAGTGCCTCAGCTGTAAAGGGGTAATGGGCCGATTTTAGCTCAAGGGAAGTGCATGATTTAAATGAGTGAGTGGCTATTTGTAAGTGGCTCAGAATAGTGCTTGGCTTTTGATTTAAAAAATGCATCCCCAGATAAGGTGCAGTACATTCAGAAGTGGCACAGTCTTTCCTGTTGGCTTGTCAGCGAGGTTCTCCTTTCCTAGAAGGGGATTTTGGGGACAGTGATGAGTGGTTTTCTCAAGCTTCCAGAAACCAGCCAACCTGATACTCTTAGATTCTATGACTGTCTGTGTAGGCTGTGAAAGACTGTATGTGGGGGTCTGTTTCCAATGCAGGTTTTGGCAAAACCTTGCTTGAACATTTTAGGTTTTTCTCAACTTGCTTCAAGGTTTGGCCCAAGAGGCACTAAAGAGGGGGAGAGCTTCCTTGACTGTGGGTTAGCAGCGCCTGGGAAGCGGACTTCCAGGCAGGAAGGTGAAACTCGCAGGGGTGGGGAAGGGACCTTCTTCTGTTCCACACTTTTTTTAAAAGCACGATAGTGCTTTGCTCTACCAGCATCCAGATAGTTTTCCACTTCCCTAACCTATTCACAGAGTTCCCCACCACTTTCTATTTTGGGCATCAACACAGTGTTCTCAGCTTTAGCTAATCACCAAAAACCTCTGTTTTTGGACCTCACAAAACGCCCAGGAACTTCAAAGGCCACCCGAAGCATACACACAAATAAAGCCAGAGGCTTCCAACATTCTGGAAACAAAACGCTTAGTAGCAATGCCATCTATGGTGTCAATAAATATGTAGTGTTACAACACGAAATAAATGCGATTTTGAACAGCAAAAAGCAGACGCTCAAGGTCGGAGAGTGTGCAGAGCTGTCTGTAGCTGCTCAGTTTAGTTGGAGGATCTTGAAAAAAGCAAACACATACGCGACCTTCCCAACCAACTGTCTGCCAGGAGGCTCCTGCCCAGCGTCAGTGCAGATGTTTAAGCCGGGGGCAGTGAGATGGAGTCACAATTTGCTGGCCTACCATAGGGCATTTGATTTCTTTAACTATCCAAAAGGGTTTCTAAGTGACTAGCTTGTGCCAAAGGGATTACATCAAAAATTTAAAAGGCAGCTTCCTTTTATATGCCCAAGTAGATGGGATCTGTCTTCAGCCTCTTTTCGGGCCTCTGGTGCTTCTATCTGGGATTCAGGTCCTCATTTGCAGCCCCTTCTTATGTTCCGCACCTGCCCTGCCTCGGACAGTGGTGCGGCTTGGGTCTCTGGGGTCCTCCAGGTCCGCTTCTCGTCCCAGGCCTTCGGACCCTCTGCCCCGGGGTGAGCCGCGGGATCCACGCAGTCCCCCGGGCAGCAGCGCGGGCATCGCCGCCCACTGAGCCTCCGGGCGACACGCGAGCAGCACCCACGCTGGCAGTCTCGCGGCCGCGGTCCTGCCGCTGGCCCTGCCTCAGTGGCTCCTTGCGGGGTAGGGCGCGCGCTGCTGGCGGTGGGCAGGCCGGGGGGGTGGGGGGTGGGAGCTGCTCGGGGCCGTCGGAGCCGACGCAGGGGTCGGGGTGTCGCAGGGGTCAGCTGCGCCACCACTCACGGTCGGCGCGTGGTCAGGACCGGGTGCGTCCCGAGGGGACCCGGAGTCGGCGCGGCCGCCGAGCGGAGCGACCTCTTCCCACGCCCGCCGGGGTCACCACCGTCCTTCACCCCGGGCGGCGGCGGCGGCTCCCGACTGGCCTGGGACTCCCCTGACCCGCGAGGTTATACAACAGCGCCTCAGTGAAACTTTTACTTCCATTCAAAGGCACGTGTCCCTCCCCCGGGCCCGCTCGCCCTCCGGGTGCCGGCGCCCCGGGCCCCAGCCGGGACCCCAGCCCACCCCCTCCCGCCCTGCCGCGGGGTCCCAGCCCGGAGCCCCCAACCCGGCCCGGAGCCCCGACAGCGCCCCCACGCGGGCGGCCGAGGCGGGGCCGCGGGCCGGGCAGGGTCCCTCTCCCGCGCGCCCCCGTGCCCGTCCCCGCGGGCGGCGTCTCGGCGAGGTCCCGGGCCCCGGGCGGCGGGGGCGGCGGCGGGCGCGGCCGCCGCGGGGGAGGCGCGCGCGGGGCCGAGCGGAGCGCAGCGAGCGGAGCCGCGCGCCGTCCGCCCCCGCCGAGCCGAGCGCAGCCGAGCTGAGCCGGCGCCGGGCGGGGAGAAGAGCGCGCAGGGCCGGCGGCCGCCGCCGGAGGGGTCGAGCCTGCGCCCCGCGCCCAGCGCCCGGGCGGCCAATCCCGCGGGCCCGCGACCACCTGCTGCGTGCGTCCCGCTCTGGGCCTCGCGGCTGCAGCTGGGATCACGCGCGTCCCCGCGGACGGGGCCAGTCCACGCGTGTCTCGCCGAGCCGGCGGCGCTCAGGTGCCAGGTACGCGGGTGGAGGGGGGGGCGGGCTGGAATCATGAGGCGCCGGGCGCGCTTGGGGCGAAGGCGGGGGCCGCGTTTTGACGCGGGGCTGGGTCGCGGGTGGCGAGGACAGAGCCCAGGTAGCCGGGGCCCGCGAGCCACGTCACCCGCGTGGCGGCCCTATCTGGCCCCGCGAGGCCTCGTGGGCCGGGAGCAGCCGGGCGCGCACTGCGAGCGCGTGAAGTTTCCCTCCGCGCACTTTGCTGGACTTAACTTCGCATCGCAAGGCGAAGCCAGGCGGTCCAAAGCGCAGAGAGAACAGAAGAGTCTGGGCCTGGCGACAGCAGCGAAACCGTCGGGGTGGGAGCCATGCGCGCAGAAAGGAGTGGACGCATCCTTGACGCCCTTCCTTGTGCTTCAGGGAATGGTTTATTTAACAGGCTTTGGGCTTTGATTACAAGCCGCCGTGAGGGATGCCGGGTTTGAGCTGGGACACCATCAACATTTTAATCAACAAAATATCAGTGGAGCGAATGCTTTCTGGCAGGCAGGGTTTGAGGAGTTGCTCAGAGGAGCTCACGCTGGGCTCTGGAAATGCAAGCCAAGGGAGCATCACCCCCTCTGAATTGGACCAGGGTAGGTACTGGCCAACAGCTGGCCTCGTGTCACTATGAATATTTGATTTTGGACCAGCAGGTCCCAGGGGGAGGCAAGTAGCCATGAGATCCACAGCTGCCCAGAGCGACTTTAAGTCCCCTGCTCCTCTGGGGAGCCTGTGGACCCCCCACCCCACCCCGTCTATCAGCCTGCCTCCCAGGGGAGGATGGAGCTGTGGTCATCCTAAGAGCCCTTCAGATTATAAAATTGTGGAGACCGGAGATGAAGATTCCTGGAGACAGTGCCCCGTGCCATCAGGGTCCTGTAGTAGGGGTTAGGGGTGGGGAAAGGGGGTGTTGGGCGGGGTTCCAGGTCAGCCCCAGTATGGAGTTGAGCCATGTTGTAACAAGAAGCCAGGGGGAAAGTTCAGTAAGAGGAGCTTGTCTTGTTTATTCTTATTGTGCTATTTTGTACATCGTGGATTTAAAAAAAATTACCTTTGATACTTTAAAATATTGCATTAGGACATCTGTCCCACTGAGTTTTTGGCCACCCATTAAATTTTGCACCTGCAGTAAATGTCTCAGCCTCATTCTGGACTTGCTCTGCTAGTCACACTTCTAGGCCTTTCTGAGCAGCCCTTTCCTCTTTTACAGAATACATCAAGTGCATTCAGGCTGTGGCCCAGCTGGCCACGTGCTGGATGGAGAGAAGCATAAAGCATCCTGAAGGGTAGTTTTCCTGTTCCTGTTACCATTCTGCTTGGGCGTCTTGGGCTTTTCATTAAGTCTTGCTGAGTCTCAGTTTGTCATTCAGGGAAATGGGAGTCATGATGGTGCTGTGAGCCAGGCATGGTGGTACACCAGTAATTCCAGCACTCAGGAGACTGAAGCAGGAGGATTGCTGTGAGTTCAAGGCCAGCCTGGACTACACAGTGGGACTCTATCTTTAAAAAAAAAAAAAAAAAAAAAAAAAGAGTGCTGAGGTCTGAAAGTTTGTGTCCCCCCAAACTCTAGCATGGAGACTTCTTGGGAGGAGACAAGACCAGAGGGGTCATTATGCATGGAATTCACCCTTCGTGAATGGAATCAGCACTGTTACCCAGGAGCCCCGAGTGAACGTCTCTGCTCCTTTTCCATATGAGGATGCAGTATGAAGGTACAAGTCCTCCCTGGATGTCCTGGGTGCTGGCATGTGGCTCGCAAGACTTGCTGGTTCCCAGCAGAACTGTGAGCAGGAGGTTTCTGCTGTTCTGTAGTCATCTGGTTTATAGTGTTCCGTCAGAGCAGCCTGGATGGCCCGAGACAGCGCGCCCGCTCTCAGCTATCGTGGGAGACCCTGTGTAAACAGCCAAGTGGGCCTGTGTGCAACTTGAGCTGGTGGCTCATCCTCTGGAGGGTCACCCTGGTACCCACCCTTATACTGCCGGGGTTGCGTGGAGATCCTTGGGAACTGCTGGGATCCCTGCAGACCAGTGGTATTTCAGTCACCATCTAGATCAAGCAGCTTGGGCTCTGCAAGTCCATATCCAGACCCACCACTCCAGATGACCTGTAGCAGGGCTCCTGTTGATGCACATGGTCCCTGGGCACCAAGAGATGTAGGAGGGGTGGCCTCTTGCTGCTCATCTGGTCTTGTTGTCCCCAGTGAGTCCCACTGAGCCTGTCATTAGGTTTTCACTGCCTGTTGTCCAGTTGGGCGTTGCCGGGGTGACACACAGATGAGCCCCTGGCTCTTGCATGGGCTCTGAGACCTCTCCCTTGGAAGTCTCCTCAGGGTCCCCGCTGGGTACCTGCCCACCTTCCCAACTATGACACAGTGGGCCACGGCACACAGCCATTTTTGCCACATGGGGCCGGCGTTTCCTACAGGAGGTAGAAACTCCTCACACCTTCCCGCCCCAACTTCTCCTCCATGCTGGGCGATGGGGGCCCGGTCCCCCTAGCTTCCTCTCCTCCCACAGCCAGAGGGACTTTTCCCTGTGTGTGGTGGAGGAGTATTTCTTAGGTTGTGTCTTTTGTCCCCAAAGTGTTACAGCTGAGAGTAGAGCTGTGGACTCAAACTTTGTTCTTGATATGCAAAAGAACTTAAAAATATTTTTATATAGAAGGAATAAATCCTGGCATTCTATATAGCACAGCAGGGTGACCATCGTTAACAGTGGGTTATTGTGTGTTTCAGAATGGCTCCAAGAAAGGTTTTGAATGTTCCCAGCAGAAAGAAATAAATGCTGGAGGTGGCAGATTATGCTAATTGCCCATTTGATCCTTACACATTGTATACATGTGTGGAGAGAATCACATTGTACCCTATAATTGTGTGCCAATTAAAAATAATTCTAAAATTATTCTTACGTTACCCACTTCCCTCCCCACTCCTCCATCCCTGAATTAACCAAGAGTGCTGCCAAGGTGGGAAGGAGGCGTGAAGGTCCCCGTTGCCCCTCTCTGGGCTGCTGTGCAGGCCCGTCTAGGTGGTGTGCAGTAGACTTTTTAGTTTGGGCAAAAGAGGAAAAGCTGAAGGATCTGTTATAGATCGGGCCTGGAGGGAACCTGGCAAAGAGCCTTTTGGAAGAAGCGTTGGTGGAGAGGGGAGAATAGAACTGCTTTGTACTTGCACCATATCGGCAGAGCCTGGCCCAGTGAACTGGTCCCCTGTGGGTCAGTGTTTTCCACACCCTGTTTCTGCTGTTGCGTCTTTATGGTCACAAAGCTGTACTCCGTGCTTGGCATTTACTATGAGCTAAGGAGAAGGCCAGAGAAGCCCCAGTTATACCCGCTGCTTCTGCGCGCTTAGGGTCATCTGCACTCATGGGAGGCCCCGAGAAGCCCAACGCTGTGTGCCTGCATCCTGGGCTTAGGCACGGCCAGTTCATGCTGGTTTTGAAGGTGGAGTGGCCAGGGGACACTGGGATTTAAGTAATACAGGCTTGGACACCTTGGATGTGGGATGAATGAGAACTGCCCGTGAGGAGCTGGGAGGTCCAGGAGCAGCCCTCAAGCCCACCTATCGGTCACCTCTGGCCAGGGCTGAGCTCATCTTTCCACTCAAGGTACCTGAAAACTCTTCCACTGTCACTGTCACCTGAGAGCTGACAACAGGGATAACAAGCGTCCTACAGGGGATGGAGATCGGGTGACGTCTCATTCACATCCTGCTATTCTTAGGTCTCTGTATCCAGAAATTGATTGCAGACTTCTAGATTAAAGGATCCAGGAGACAGACTTGTGCGTGATGGTGAGAAATCACCCTGACATCCTCTGTGTTCCTTTTCACATGTACTCGGCCACCGTCCTCAGCTCAGTGGATGGTGAATAAGAGGTCATGTCGGTGCTCTGTGGATTAAGCAGCAAGTTGACAGGAGATAGTGAGACAGGTGTGTACCAGGCACCTCCTTCTCTGTGTCAGCCCCCGAGCTAGCATGGCCTCAGGCCTCAGCATTCCTGAGGTGATTCCTCCTAGGGAAGGGCTCTCACATATTTTTCTTATGATTAAAGTATCTGTAAAACTATAAAATATTCTGAAAGGCGAAGCATGGGGAGTTATCTGTCTGTTCAGGCCTCTGCCTAGCTCTGGTGTGTGGGACTGCTTTTCAAAGACATGAAGTCGAAGAACTTCCAGGAAGATTTGCCCACACCTCCGAGGCCCATGCCCTGATCTATATAGTTTTGTCAGTGGGAGGCTCCTGAGCCATTAGCTATGGCCTGTGCAGGCCCAAGAAACTGCTCTGGAAAGACACCTGCAGCTGGAGTCTGGGGCTGGTGGAGGACTCTTGCTGTTTTAAAGTAACTGGCCAGCCAGGGGGACCAGCAGACTCTGGTTCCTGCCCTGCTTCTTAGAGGCCCTATAACTTTGGGAACAGAGGTGGTGGTGTGCCCGTGGATCTGTGATCATAGGCAACACTTTCTGAGTTATTTGTAGCTGCTAATCTTCCATTGTCTTTGTTATAAGAGGGCAAAAGGGCATTTACTATAATTCTCAATTAAGACCATCCAGTAAAGTACTCTAAAGGTCCTTTAGTGCTTGCGATCTGATGGCACTTAAGGCAGATTTAAGGTGGAGCTATAGTATGAGTGTTGTCTGTGGAGATCGTGCCACAAGGTCTCATGCTGGAAATGACCGCAGTGTGGACACACACGGTGAGAAGCAAACGGCCAGGCTGGGGTCAGCGAAGGCAGGCAGGACAGGAAGTGGCTGGGTGCATCCTGGAGCTCTGCATCCTGGAGTCCAAAGCATTCCCATGTCCTTCCTCTCTGCCGCAGCACCATCCTCTGCTAAGACGTGGGTCCAGCCAGACTTCTGAGGTGCAGGTGGAAGGTGCCCTGGGCCAAGGAGACACACTTGTTCTCGGAGCACGCGGGGACCATTCTTCCCTTGCCATACCTGTGGCTTTTCTATGAGCCTTCTGGACTACACAGTCCGGACAGGTATCGCCAGTGGATAATGGGACTATGACAAGATGTTTAGCCTCATGCATGTGAATATTGAGTACTTCTTCTGTATTTAGAATTTCATGAATATTTGCCACCAGGCTGTGTTGGGTATATTTAGTGCCTCCTGAATATTAGGAATATCTCGGCCCTCTTATCCCTTGCGGTCTGTGTTTATGTACTTAAAATATCTTATGACATCCATCCATCCATCCTGCTTGCTGTATTTTCCTCCAAATTGAGATTCCTCAACAAGATCACAAATGCACTTTAAAAAATATTGCTCCATGAGTCTCTTAAAATCACTTCCAGATTGGGTATATGTCTGTGAAGTCATTGTCCTGTCCAGGTGGCTGGGCCCAAGTGTTTGGGGGCAAAGCTAGGTCTGTGGAGGTTTGTGAAGCTGACTCCCACCTGCTACATGGTCAGAAGTGAGTGCAGAGCCAGGTGCACGGGGCTGGTGCCTGCTCTGGGCTCCTCAGAAAGAAGCAACCACGGGAGGCTGCTCCTCTGTAGCTGCTCTGTGGGCCTTTGCCTCAACTTTTTACCCTTTTTGATCCGGTTACACCCAGGCTTAGGGCATACCCAAGAGGTGCAAGGATGGATAGGGTGGGTTAGGGGTCACCTAACGGTTCCTTACGGTATAAGCTCAGCACTGGCCATGTGGGCTGTCTCCGCTTCTCTGCAGCTGATGAGGGAAAGACGCCCACCCTGTAGTGCCCTCTCCTTCCACAGTGCACCCGCTGTCCCAGCCCGGGGTGGTGTCCAGCTCCTAGGCCTCTGTGATCTTTTTTCAATACCTTACTTATTTGCCATTTTGCCTCCAAGAAAGTGGCACCAAGAACTTTTTTGTATGAGCTTTTCCTGTATGGAAGATTTGGTGCTTTGGAGCCACGGTGCTGATTGCATTGAAGAGCGAGAAGCAGCCGGGTGTGTTGGTGGGCCGGATCCGCCCTCTGGGGACCTGGATCTGCAGATGGGGGATTCACTCCCTACAACTTGGGATCATTTCCACAGAAACCAAATTCCACGAAGTTTTGGGTAATTGCTGGGCATCAGCAGCCAGCTTCATTTGGAAACAGATTCCTTTATCCTGCATGTTAGCCTTCTGGTGGCCCATGGAGTGACTGGACAAAGCTTGGCCGATGTTCTGTTCTCTTTATGGCCTTCATGAGCAAAGAGGTGTCTGCTAAGTGAGGCTCATATAGTACCACATCCTGTTTTATTTTTTGTTTGTTTAGTTTTGGAGGCAGGTCTTGCTGTGTAGTCCAGGCTAGCCTGGTGCTCACTATGTAACTCAGGCTGGACTCTTGACTCACAGTGATCCGTCTGCCTCAGCCTCCAGTGCTGGGGTAACAGGTGTGTACCACCTCACCTGGTTTCATCTGGCACCATCTTCTGCAACACAGATGACCAGCGGCTTTTATGGGTCCCTTGGTGGAGGGGAACCTGGGCAGGAGCTCTGCACAGCAGGCCTACAAGTCGGCCGGGCTCTGACCAGACTTGTTCTGTGTGTGGCTCACATCCACCGGGCTTCTTGTTGCTGCTCCTTTTGGTACCACAAAGCCAGGTGCTTTGTGGAACTGACGCTGTCATTGTCAGACCCAGGGGCAGGACAGCAGTGGATCCCCATGCCGTTTGGAGATGCAGCCTTCCGGACATCTGTCTGTGCGCTATTGTGTGCATATGTGTTCATGTGTGTACAGTCAGCCTTGGATTCTGTGTGGG